ACTCTACACGTTGTCGAAGCTCTGATCAAGAAGCGCATCTTCAACCGCCAACCTGAGTACTTGGTCAAGTGGCACGGGCTCCCTCACCATGAGAACACGTGAGAACGCGAGCGCGACATCAAACACGTCAGCCACTGGCAAGCGCTGCTAAAAGATCTCCGCCAACGCAATCGAGTGGCACGGGCCTAGTGGAATTCTCTTGAACAGAGTTTTCACGGTACTGTTCCTTATATCATGGGTCTACGGTACTACCAACTTCAACTTCGGCGACTTCAACGTTCAAGATGCCGGGACTCGCTCAAGTCGGGGGGAGTGTAATGATCTGCACGTGCAAGAGTAGAACACAACCGCATCATCAGTTGAGTCCGCATACAGAGAGCCCAAGTCGTCGCCTGCATACTCACCGGTTGTGCCAGCTCCTGCTCCGGCACGCCTCAGCCAACCACTTCATGTTTAGAATCGAGCGCCACGAGGGCGCCCTCGGGTAGATGGATAGCAGCAACCAGACAAAGACATCAATTCAGTTTCCATTTTACTCGCAACACAACAAGCACAACCAGAACCTTACACTCATAGACATCTGGTTGTTCTGTCGGTGTGACTTAATCATAGCAACGATCCGCCCTCGGAGTGGAAGCCCGCCTTTGACGTCACGTTAACACAGTGGAGCAGACCAAGAACAAGACGTGAGGTAATGTGCACTGAATCTGACGCTTTTACTTTTAAGACAAAATTATTCGCTTTTTCGGTCACCCAATGATTCACTCTATGATTATTAAACTTATCTTTTTTTCCCTTAAGTGAATGTGTCTCATATATTTTTGCTTACACTTTTATTGTCTGTATAGAAGGTAAAACATCAATTATAGCCAACTTATAACAATCCCGATTCTCGCTATCACTGCTTCAGGACTCCAACAACCATGTTATACTTTGTTCTGCACATTATACAAATATTAGTGGTGCTACAAACATCAGCGTTTTCACGCATTAGAGCTGTTGGTCATCAAACATTCCCCCACGACACGTATATATACACACTAAGCATCCAGCTATCCCAGCATTTGTATTCTTAAAATGTTGGTCTACCTTAACTATCGGTGGTATTATTCGAGTAATTATACGGGGCGTGTGTTTCCGGTTTGATCAAGAAGATCAGCGAAAGTGGAGCCAAGATCGCAATCCCCAGTAAAAAGTAATTCCATCTCAAGTGAGGGAATTTGAAAGAGCCTTCCTTGGCCGCAGCGCGTCCAATGTTCTCAATGTTCTTCGGAGTCAGTTTGACAGGTTTGTTCTGCAGTGTCGCCCTAAGCTTGGTGGTAACGGGGTTTCGCTCCAACGATTTCATCAGCGCACCATTGCTCTGTAATTTCTCGACGCTCTTCCGGACAGAAGGGTTAGTCTGTAGTATCTTCCCAAACGCTCCATTATGCTCCGAAATCGTCGTGACACCAGAATTCTTCCGAAAAAATGACTTCATCCGGGTCGGAAGATAGCTGAGTAATCGTTCCTCGACATCTTCGTCCATTGCATCACGATCAGTAGTACGTATCGCTGCTTCGTCTCTAGTTGTTCGCTTCTGGTCTCCGTCATCTTCTAGCGTGTTGTTGAGATCGGTTTTGGTCTGGTTGGCGATACCGTCGGCGTAGGTGCAGGCAGCAACAGTGAGCATCAACGCGAGAGCAAAGCCGTTCAGGCGCATCATACATGTACTTTCAAAATGTACTGATGTCTGGGCACTCGAGTTTTTGAGAATGACTATTATAATAAGCACCACCACGCGGCACTACAGTTTACGAACCATTGTTTTCGGACACTGGACACTGGAATCTGTTTGCGAACCATACCGGACACTGGGAATCTGTTTACGAACCATACTACGTGTTGCGTTGTGAGCCTGGGCACCATGACTTTCCATTTTTGTTTAATTAGGTTACGGTGGCAGTAAACGTCGACGCAGTATATTGCAGTACAATAGACAGAAATGGAATCGGCCAGTAATACTGCTGGATATAATTCCAGGGAACACTGCTTTGGTACTCAAGCTGGGAACATAACCCCGGGCCTTCCATTGTACAGCGAATTATTTCAGAATCATATTCCTTTGCCGATACTGTAATTGGTCTCAATTTTTTTGCTGTTATAAACCAATTATAGTATAGGCAATAGCAAATGACCTTGTATGACTGATTCTCAAAGAGCGTTTCGTGCACAACGACTAGAAGGAGATCATGCCATCCTATAAAGACTGTTTGCGAGGCACAAGTAAATAACAAGCTCGATTTCTGAATCGAAAGCTTGAAGCTTCTGATGTGGCGTTTTAGGGTCAGTGTGCTTGCTTCGCTGATGCAACTAAGTAACCAGTTGCTGTAAATTTGTACGTAATCAACAATGGTTCGTAAGCCTGTTCAGTGCTCTCTCTCCAGTAGTGTGTCAATACTTTTTACTATCCAATTTCCCCCGCATTTTCCCAATTGAAGATGCGTTTCCGTGTTCGCAGTTCGTAACGAAGTGGAGAACTGTCGTTTGTCGCCGATTGGCTGTCACAAACCGTATTTTGTACCGGTTTTTCTTACAAAAGCCAAGTCAGCAATACAAAACTAAGTCAAGTATACAAACACAAAGTGAACAGTTTTAGTATCGAGCTAATAATAGGCACGAAAGCATTACACAGGGTTTACACTAATTCCAAAATACCGGTTTTCCAGTAGGTATGCGGTACAAGCAGATATCCAATACCGGTAGTCATTTGGCTAGGTATTGTTGTAGCTGCGGCGCAGCCTGCACCGCAGTTATTACGTATAAATGTGGACCACGTTAGTGTTCTTGACTCTGGCAGTGCACAATTTGCATAAGACTGCCGCCGTCCGACGTTGCCAGTTGTGATCGTCACGAGAAACACCACCAACCCAATGACCCAATGGACGCAACATTGAAGGCAACTTATGGAATAGAAGCAGCGTGCGGGCTTCTGGCGGTTGTATCGCGTCTTCATAGAGTGCCAGATACCGCAGCCTTTCACTACATGTTTTTTTCCCTGAAAAATTTGCTAAAGTGCCATACAACGCGCCATACAAGCTTTGACAGAGCCATCATCTAGTCTCCTCTTCCTCATGCTTATTGATGAATAAGGACTCACATTTCTGTGAGATAATGGACGCGCTGTAGCTTCATTAGAACTTACCGCACGCGTCTTTTCGACTAATTTTTCCTGAATATTGACCAAGCCGCCATACAACGCGTCATACAAGCTTCGGCAAAGCCAGTTAGCCTCCTCTTCCTTATACTAATTGATGAATAAGGTGTGGATGGGCACAGACATTTCTGTGAGATAATGGACGACACTAAAGCTTGCTTCATTGGATCCTGCAGGCTCATTCGTCGTTTTAATCGTTAATTGTAACAGGCTGCTCGGTACTAGGTACGAGTTATCGCATTCTAAAATGCTTTTTCTCAGTTGCTGAGAACCGTTGTAACACAGTAGCGGAGGCAGCGCCACCAAGTCGACACTACACATTCCGAGGTACGTGCTGAAGTGTATGTAGGCGGGATACTGGCGTATTGATCATGTGTGGTTGATTTTGCTTCATGTGCCGCGGCTGTTGCCTTACTGCGTTGGGTTTGTGTTCAGGAGATTAAGGAATACAGTGGGCACACTTTACCACTGACTTTTGTGGGAAACCTGACTTTCGGTGGTCATTCTGCGAATTTGTTACTGGAGAATATGCTAACTGGAACAAAGAAGAGAAATAGCGGCGGTGCCACGTCGGACGAAGACGATTTGCTAGGATACTTGGATGTTGCATTTGAACGCGAACAGCATTCTTCGTGGGACCTTTACCCACTGGACCACCAATTAGCAGCCAATAAGTAGGCTAATACGTTTTGCATTATGAATTAGGACCATGGAGCTTTATTTAACGTCGGACTCTTTTTAAAATTAATGTTTATTAGGCGTGTATTAGTCCTGTTTCGATAGCGACCACAGTTCGCAAATTCCACTAGCAGGGTTACATCACGAAGGTATCACTAGATGAAATTAAGAAGTTTTAAAATCATCTAACATTTATTGATGGGTTGACATTTTTTGATGGGTTGATGTCCCAGCCTAGATGCCAGACCAAAAGCAAAACAAGGCAAAGAGTAGTGTCAAACGTCAGCCATATTTTCTACACAATAACTTGGACGCGATCTCGAAGAAGTCCATTCGCCGGCTTGCTCGGCGAGCTGGGGTGATCCGAATGTCCGCTGTGATATACGAGGAGGCTCGGGCTGCACTAAAGCGTTTCGTAGTGAATCTCGTACAAGACACTGTGGTGTACACACAGTACGCTAACAGAAGAACTGTAACGATGCGCGATGTCGTCTATGCTCTCAAGCGCCAAGGTCGTCCGATCTAGGGCTTTGACTAGACGGTACGGCTCGTAAAATTCTACGTAGAATAACCTTAAACGAAATAGAATACGATACGATGATACTCATTAAGTATCATGTTTTATGACAACAATTTTAAGAGCGGTCAATTTGATACCACTCCTTTAACATCCACGAACTGCGATTTCCCCCGGGCGAGCGCCCGGGTAAGCTGTCCTTCTAGATGCGACTACCATCGTTTTAGCTGCAGTTATCGCGGCAACAATACTGTACAACGGATTCCGACCTCAGAACATGAGCGAGACTGCTGCTTACTCCACGAGATTCTTAAGAACTATCGATCCCGATGCTGTCGAGGAAAGAGCGCCCGTCGTAGATACGCTAAAAGCCTTGGTGACGTCTTCAGAGGTGACCCCAGATAAGCTCAGGAACTGGCTCAGTGAAGGGAAGTCAGCAGACTCAGTGTTCACGAGGATGCACCTCGCGAAGACCAAGGACATGCTGTTGAAGAGACCTCAGTTTAGATCATGGGTTCAGTACGCCGACGATCTAAGTAAGGCATCCAAGAAAGAGATGTTAGTAATTTCGACTCTGACTGCTCAGTATGGAGACGATGCACTGTACAAACTAATTGAATCAGCTAAGCTGGACCCGAAGATTAAAACCCTCGCAAACAGACTGGAAAGGGAGCAAATGCAATACTGGGTGGCTGTTCGAAAGAGTCCTGACGACGTATTTCCTATCTACAAGCTTGACGAGGCGAAACAAACAGTACTGAGCACTCCAAAATTCGTCAATTGGGTTAAGCACGTCGATGATTTGAACGCCAAGCATCCCGAACAACCTGTAACGACGATCCCAACGCTGAAAAAGTATTTTAACATCGACGACGAAGGTCTCCTCAGCTTGATCAGCGTTGGTAAGCAATCCGAGCGAACCAAAAGCATCGCCCCCAAAGTGGAGGATGATCTACTTCAAATTTGGGGCAACAGCAAGAAAACACCGGACGCAGTACTAGACGAGATGAGGATTGACAAGATGAACATTCCCCTTTTGGAGAACTCGCTATTCACAACTTGGGCGAAGTACGTGAGTATCTTCAACGCGAAGTACCCCAACGAGAAAAGGACAATGATCGTGATTCTAACACGGAAGTTTGGTGATCAATATATCACGCATATCCTTTATAAGGCGAAATCGATCGATACGACGAAAACCATGGCAACTCAACTGGAATCTGCACAACTGACAATGTGGCGAAGCAACGACAAATCTGTTGACGACGTCTTCGACCTACTATGGCTTCGTCGAAGAGATCACGATTTCTGCTCCCGCAATTCGCCACCGATACTCAATGCGTGTGTCTCGTACTTAAATGTCATCACCACAGAAAGCCCGACAATGCTACCCATTTTGCTCTCAAATTTAAAAACCACCTTTGACGACCGATCCAATTCCTGGAAGCAGCAAAACCATTCCGAAGTCTCGAAAGGGCTGTCGACAAGCTTGAGACGGAGAAAATCCGGGCAATTTTTGAAAGGAGAGAACAACCAAAAGAAGCATTCAGACTTCTTGGACTTGATGGCAAGGGAAATACCATTCTCAGCAACCCCCTTTTTAAGGAGTGGATGGACTACGTGAAGATTTTCAACAGAGAAAACCCGAATAAACAAGAATCCTGGTTTTATCCGCTACGTATACACTATGGATGGTATGGCGTCAAAAAGATCATCAAGACTGCGATGAACAACCCGAACACAGTGAAAATTGGTAAACAGGTGGAAATTGCAATGCTGAAGCAATGGCTGGAAGCTAATCACAATCCTAGTGAGGTCTTTAAATTCTTAAAACTCGGTAAAGCGGGCAAAGAGATTATGTCCAGTCGGAAATTCAGTTTATGGACCAAGTGTTTGAATGACTACAACCGCAAGTTTCCTGACCAGAAAGAGAAGATGATTGATATCCTCTCGTCTAAGTACTTCGACGTTAATCTCCTGGCGATTATTAATGCGGCAAAGAAAGACCAAATCACGAAGATGCTAGCCACGGAACTGGAAGACGCGCTGGTTATGAAATGGGTTGCAAAGAACGAGAATCCTGCCCAACTTTTAGAGAAACTCCGTGGTATTGAAAATGCCGATGAACTGGTAAAGCGATACACCGATCTTGCGCGAAGTAAAAGAATGTGATTCCACGTGAAGAGCGATATCGCTCTGTCCATTGGCTACAATGGTTTTTGTCAATAGAACCTGTTCCTTGCAATCTCTTATCAGTGTTGCCACTATTAGTATTATCTTGTATCGGCCAAGAAAGGGCCAAACATGGTTTTGCTAGGGGATTTCGGACAATGGGGCCATTGGCCAGATTCAGTCTCAAAGTAAGGGCTGTCACTATGGTTTTGGTCATAAACGTCTGGCTGGGCTCGGGCCACCATCGATTGCGTCGTTTTGACTTCGACTACTGGTTGAATGCGGACACGATAAAGCAAAATATGACTTACTCGGCACTGAACATGATACCAACTAAATGTCTATAGAGATCTTAGCAATACGACCTCTTTGTCAGATAACTGGGATGAAAACCATTAGTTTACCGTAGCTCACACGAATAGTCGATGATTATGCGTCTTGATTTTAAGGTCTTCAGATCGGTTTGCAACAAGATAATATCCTACTCTTGTTTTTTTATGAGCATCCGATAGGGACAGTGGTATTTAGTCAATCCCCCTGCTTATCAATTAGCACCTCGCGTGTCGCCAGCTCACCAAACCAGTCGTTGACTACAAACCTCCCAACATCCTGAGCTCGCCGAGCACCTCGTTGGTCATTACACGACCACTCCCATGGCCCGGGGACTAGGTGTGATTTGATCGCCTAATACCAAAAGCAAACGATATACTTTCAGTCAGATACCACTCTTATCAGAGTACAAGGCATCAACTATTCTGCTTTGTGTCAGCAATACTATGTTTCTTGGACTGCACCATCTTCCCTACAACTTAATTCCATAATCGGTGATACATTGGTAAGCTCTGCTTGCGGTTGGCAGGGCCAGTGTTGCTCTAATGACGTTTTGTGTGGTTAAGAGGACTATCAAAAGCTTATTCACGAAGAGGATGTGCAACCCAAACGAACGCAGGGTCAACTGTCGTGGCAACTCGTCTCGTCATTCCGGAGCTAACAACCCAATGTAGCCTTTTGCCAATCTAGGTGCTTGGCAGTCTCCTCAACTCGTAGAACAAATGGTCATACCACGAAACGAGTGACGGTGTGCATATATGTGATTTCTCGACGAGATTTGTGGGAAATCTAAGGATCGATAATGGAGCAGATTGCGAGTCACGAATCGCGATAGTGCGCTGGATAATCACGCGGATCTTGGGCTTTTCGCCAACCGTCTTTCTCCTTGAGCAAAGGTTCAAATGCACTACCCCCGACGGTGGTGATCATAAATTGTCAAAAGAGTAATAAGTGATGGAGGAGGGAACTGCACCGTTAGTAGACCTTCTCTCCGTTGCTCAACCAGCTGCGTTCCCGATGCCACCTCGGCCCATAGAGACTTCAACAATATCAAGACACAGCTTTAGCTGATTTATGCCGTAGAGGTCGATATTACGAGCAAACGAGGTGCCAGTGCGTAGCTGACAGCTCTCCTACACGAAATGGTATAGTTAGTCTTTAAGTGTAGGTGAGCCGTTTCAGACTCAAGTTGTTGTCTACTGACAGAGCTAGAATCCAGTTTACGTAACTAGAACACTGCGAAAGGTGACGATAGATACGTTCTTATCAGCCACACTTTGTTTTTACTCGATTTCAACATACTATAATCCATTGGCTGTAAGTGTAGGCGAAATCGCCAAGCGACCTGACAAGATTTGTAGAAACACTAAGAGACCAACATATTTGCCTCTAGCAAAGAGCTAGTGTCTAATAGGAATTATAAGTCTCTATGCAGGTATACTAGCAGCATCTTATATGTGTGTAAGCTGCTTTCGGGTAAGCGATACATTAAGGGTAAAATTGACCCCTCATTCCCAAAATATTTAAAGTATACTCCATTCTCTTAAATTAATGGTTGATTGTGTGGCATTATTAATACAATTAATTCGTAAGACCGTGGGTTTGTTAACCCCTTTAGCCCCGGGTCCTGTATTCTACAGGATAGTCAAAATCTTATCCTGTATTATACAGGATAAGAATTCGTCCATACTCAAATTCAGTCATGTATACAAACGCCTAGTAATACAAAATGATTTGAAGGCCAGACGTTTGTTGCTAACCTCGGAGGGTATTATTCGTGGCCACTGTTTTTCGACATTTAGAGATTTTGCGCGCGTCCAAGTTTTCGCGCCATTTGCGATTCGGACGGACGGACAGCAGAAGCCAAATTGGATGGCAAAACGCAAGCGCATCAAAAAGCTTACTTGGGGAAAACTATGGACCAAACTCAAGAAGCTTGGATGGAGGTTTGAGCGCCCCAAAGGGCTTGCAACTGAGAATCGCTACTTTACACCTGCAGGTTGGGAGAAACGTCCAAACGCAACCCACCTTGTCGACTACTACGAAGGACCTGACGAAGTATGGAAACATTTACCGGAAGATGGTACGTCCTAAACGCGTATTTTACAGCTTTAAATGAGGCTAACGATGATGTAGTGCTGTATGACGACGCTGCAGGTGCTGATGGAGCGTCGGAACCGCCACCATCCACAATCCAAACCAACAGGCGTGGCTACTGCAAGGCTATTCCGTACAAGAGTGCGAAGCGACCCAAGAATATGGCAAGAGGCTCCTACCGTATTGCGCAGTCCAAGGATGAACCTAGCATGATTGCGGTGTCGTGGATGGACAACCGTCCCGTACACTTCATCGCCACTGGATGTAGCACCGAAACAGCAACTCTGTCGAGGCGTGAGGGCTCCGCAGTTGTTGATGTCCCAGCACCTCGTCTTGTGAAGGAGTATCAGGACGGCATGGGAGGAGCAGACGTACACGATCAGTTGCGGTTACAGAGATACTCAATTCAGGTCTGTTTTACTCTTATTATTCTTAACCGGTATTATCCAACGATCAACTGACCTACACGTAACTTTTATCCTGTATTGTACAGGGCGCCATGAAAATGCGGAAATATTACCACACCATCTTTCTTGGACTTGTTGACATGGCTCTGATCAACGCTTTTATCATCTTTCGTCGCGTGCAAGGTGATCGTACAACTGGTCCAGCTCAACCAACCCATGCGCATTTTATGCGAGTAATGCAGATGTCGCTGCTGGCTGTCGGTGCATCCGACTTTGAAGGTGACTTATCGGTTCGCGCGCTCACTGACACGCCTGTACCCCCGTCCCCGACACCGAGATACAGACTATCGACAAGTCATTCAACGAAGCAAGTCGAAGTGTACCGTACGACGCGGGGAAAGAACGGCAAGGAGTCGAGAAAGCGTCGACAGTACGCCTGCAAGGTCTGCTCATTACTGCGACCGGCCAAGAATCCGTGGGAAACTACCTTCTATTGCTTCGAGTGTACCGAGGCAAGATTGGCGGGGACACCCGATGACAGTTCAAGTGCTAAGGGCAAGATCTATCTCTCTCAATAGGTGCGACAGCACGATCCGACTGCGGCGACAAACTCGGCCACCTGCAGCCAAATTTGGCACGAGCTCTGGGGAGGTGGCGCTAACATTCCACCGGGGCTCAAGTCGATCAGGCTGCGTGCTCCAGTAGACCAAGGAGCACAGGTATCCGACGGACACGACGATGTTTCCAGTGTTAGCTCGGGTGCCAGGTCGGGTAGTGATGGAGGATCGCCAGCTGAGGGTATTGTGGAGCCCGCAGTGATCTAATCAAATGAATGCATGCATACTTGTGAATGATGATATATGTAAATTTAGACTTTTTTCTCTACGATTACATGTGCTGTTGTCGGCGAATACAGGATACAGCATCACTGGTGTGAAAATTACACTGTACCGCACACTGTAGATAGCTATCAAAGATTGTGATCTTCACAATCCTGAAAAAAACTCCGCAATAGTTAACACAAGTCATTTCGTTATCCTGTACAATACAGGTTAACTTGGGCCCAGAAACGCGGGGCTAGAGGGGTTAACGTTATTATTTTGACTTAAAAACGAGAAAGTCGCGACTAGGTCCTGACATTGAGACCTGGTATCCTAAGGTATCAGTTCGTTTCATCTAGATAGCATTGATATTAACCCCTTGGACGCGGAGCCTTGCAATACGGTTTTATGCTGCTCAGAACAGCGTAAGAAACACTTGATTTCACTATGGCTCGAAACCCGCAAAACACCCTGTTCAAGTCTTCCCGTATTTAGATGATTTTGATTGGTCCACGTTTTTAAATCAACTAATTCTATTGGATAACATTTACAGCCGGATTGAAGTTCCGAAGTACCGCGGGTAAGAGGCGGACTATATATTTTCAGAAAAATCAAATTTCGGTTCCCCTTCCGTGGCCACCACTCATTCTACATTCCGAGCCCCAAGAAGCAAAATGGAGAGTGTCGTGGATTTCAAAGTCGTGTGGCCGCTACTGCGCAAGGAAGGGTGGACATGGAAACCAGCAAAAGGGTTACAGATTCAGTAAGTGTTATGATATTGCTGCGTTTATTCGTACTAACTCTGATTATATATTACTGTAGTGCAAACTATTTGAAGCCTGGCTGCAAGCTTCGGGGAGGCAAGCACGAGGTGGACTACTTCAACGGCGAAGACGCATTGCTTGCGCACAAAAAAGCGGATAAAGACCTCTGCACCGGCCTCCATCTCACCAACATCATGGTGCGCCCCAATGCAGTCCCACTCGGTAAGAGTTTGTTCACTTCAAACATATTTCGTGCTTCATGATGACATGTTGCGTGTTTTCGGTGCAGAGTCATTACCAACTTCGGTCTCGAGTGTCCCAAGTACCTCGGGCAAGAGACAAGAGCCTACAGTCGGGAAACAGCCACCGAAGAAGCTTGCAAAGACGGTAGGGTCTCGCAAGTCTGAAGACAAAAAGAGCGAAAAGAAGCAAACGCCCAACACAAAGAAAACGAAGAAGCAAGAAGCAAAAGAAGCCACAGAGAGACGCCGCCAGTTGTCGTCGTTCGGAAACATCTGGGGTGCTGCTAATGCTCAAGTTATGCTGATATGTTGTTGTTTGGTGTTTCTAGTGGTTATAACTTGATGATTATTCAGACAGAGACGGTCGAGAGGTAGAGGCTCCAAATCAACCTCCAGTCGAACAAGAACCCCACATTAATGCTGACACGGAAGGTACGTTATTTTTAGTTTATGCGGACTTGAATGTGATGCTGCCGCGAACACAATGGTTTTTAGGTAATGCTGACGAAACCAATCCCCCGCCTGCTGACTTGAAAAGATATGCTGACGGGGATGTATGTAACCCGCAGATTGTGCTGACATCCACGATGATGTAGAGAGTCGCTCCGGTGATGGATCGGAAAGTGAATACGAAGACGACCCAAACGCTGCTGAATCTGAAGTGGACGATGCAGATGATGAGAATTCCGTAGCCGAATGTGATGATCGAGAGGATGACCAGGGTGGAGAGGACACGCAAGGCGCTTCGCTTCGGCATCCAGGTACTGTGGAGACCCATTTCGAGCCCCTTGGATATGCCGACGCAGAGCCAAGTGATGCCAATCTCGTCCTCGGTGAGATCGAGAAAAGCATTGAGTCGGATGAAGAGGGGAAGACTCTGTCGGCGTTGCAGATATGCTGGACACAGATGATGAAGCAGAGTCCCTTTGTGAAGAATCTGTTGTCGCCGAAACTAGCTGGATCGCCGGTTTGTTGAACGAAGTCGAGTTGGAAAGGCTACACATGGCAGTGGAAGGTATGTTGAAAAAGGTAGTGCGTTGTGATGACCGAGTCAACTTATTAAACTGAATTTACGCTGACAGGGTCATCCGAAGTCTTTGACGACAACCAACTAGCAGATATGGCGGCTCGAGGCTGGGCCGTGTACCCTGAAAATGAGGTTGCGGACATTGTCGACGATCCGGAAGTTGACAAAATGTCCGAAGGTTATTGTGGACCGTCGAAAGATGTCTTAGCATCGGCCAAATCATCACTTTCCCTGTTCTTCTACTTCCTACCGAGGGCATTCTGGAGGCATGTTGCGCGCGAGACACACCGCTACTGGGAGCAGACGTTTGACGCTGGCCTGAAAAAGGCGCTGGTGAAAGAGACTGAAGTGACCCATCGGCCACAGAAGAGTAGAGACAAGTTGCGCAGAAAGCTAGAGCGCTTTGAGAGGATTGCGCCCCATGAAATTGTTCAATGGATTGGTTTGGTATTGGACACACGTTGAACCCTCGTAAGAGTTTTGAGATGCACTGGTCTACAGCGGAAGACGGTCTTATTCCCGCTGGAACGTTCGCCAAAGTGATGTCACGAGATCGGTTTCGAAACATTACGAGATTATTCCGTTTCTCGGACAATCAGGAAGCTGCAGCAGCTCGTGGTCGTGCTTGGAAAATCAGACCAATCTTGTCAACGGTGGAGAAGACATTCAAAGAAGGCTATGTTCTAGGCTCTCGTGTGGCTATTGACGATGGTATGCTTCCATCATGGAACCGTCGGAATCCGCCTCGTCAATACTTGAAGGATAAACCCCACAAATGGGGTACCAAGTGTGTGATGACGTGCTGCGCGGAATCAGGATACTGCAAAAGGTAAGCAGACACTGTCATCTTTAGTTTTCGATCTTATGCTGACATGTCGTGGATACGTCAATGTGTTAGAGTGGAAGTTGATATCGGCAGGAAGCATGATGCCGAAGGTGCACAGTCCATTGATACAGAGAGCGGCCCAGCTGCAGTTGTACGAAATGTTGCATGTGTATTCAGGGGACTCCCATAGTAGGAACGCCGCGTGGTCATTGCTGATCGCTTCTACACGTCGATTCCCCTGGCACAGCAGCTCCGTACCATGGGATTCAACTTCGTAGGCACAATCCAGACAATTCGAAAGGGCTGGTGCAAAGCCGTCGAGTATTCGTTCAAGAAGCGACCAGTCACGTACAAGCGAGGCTCGTTCACGCTGGCTGTAGCAAAAAGCAATCCAGGACTGGCTGCTGTAGGCTGGGTTGACAACCGTATGGTGTATTTCCTGTCGTCCCAAGTGACAGCAACATCGACAACGGTGCAACGGAGGGAGAAGAGTGGAGCGGTGTCAACGGTGCCGTGTCCTGGTTTGGTTGATGAATATCAACGCTTCATGGGTGGTGTCGATCGCCACGACCAGTTGCGACTTCAGTCATACTCAATGCAGTTGGCGACAAAGTAAGTGGTGTGCTGTTCATGTCAGCTTATGAAAAAAAGTCTAATGCTGTCGCGAACAACAGATTCCAGAAATACTACAAAAACCTGTTTCTTGGAGTGGTCGACATGGCGGTGGTGAATGCCTACATTGTACACGCTTACGTCTGGGAGAAGGAACGAAAGAAGATGTCATACTACTCTTTCTTGACAACTTTACACAGACAGCTCATTCAGGAGACGGAGTCCTCCGTTACGGAGGCAGGGACGTCGACTGAGCCGTCAGCTGGAGTACGTGAAAAACCTATCGCTATCCAAGGTGACCATTCCCTCGTCCAAACAACTGACACCCGTCTAAACAACGGTATCCATCGTTTGCGCCAAAGACAATGCAAGGTCTGCTCCTACTACAAACCGGCAAACAAGAAGAGGGGTGGAACTTCTACGTTCTATTGCGTGAAGTGCTCCGAAGGCAAAAGGGGGCAGGTGACACTCTGCAACAAGGTGCGTGGACACCAAGCGAACGAGGGCATGACTTGTGCCCTGATATGGCACATCCTGTGGCAGAATGGCTTGTTCACCCCAAAAGCAAGTCACATTCGCGATCGTAGCCTAGCTAAGCCGTAAGGGAAATACATATAGCTGAATTAAGACATACAGTAGCACAAATAAGTCATTCCGTTTACTAAGAACACCTTCTACGTTGTTGGCACTGCCTCTGTTTGTCTCTCTTGGGTCGCTTTGCTGTCCGTCCTGCCAACTCTTGTTCTCTTTGTGCTGTGTTGATGTGGTGGTGAATACGTGGCCTCTCCTTCTGGTCTCTTAATATCGGAGTTGCATAAACAGACGGTCAAACAGTTCATTGGAGAATTTTTATCCGCAGATCATACCAAGCCCCTATACCGGAATAATCACCGTGGAGCTTAGCAACAAAGTCGCCGAAAAAGGTGCATTTAATTTCTTCGCAAAAATATAGCATACTTTATTTAAGTGAAATACATATACCCTCCCGGAGGGTATAAGGCTTTTTTTAGCCTCTCCCTGTCACCCCTCCGCGTCCAAGGGGTTAAGAAAAGGTCTAAGACCCGAATACTGAGCTCGGATTGGTTAGACATAGACTTGAGACTCTCATGCATTTGAACACCACCACCAAGAGAGACACAGCACTGACGCTAATGAAACGCTAATCCCTGGTACCCCCAGCCTTCCACAGACCACACAACACGCTGATTAGCTGAGGACAAGTTGACTAGGCTCCCCCGTAATATCCACGCTGACACCAGCGTCTAAGGGCCGTTATTAGCGAAAACTTGCTAGTGGACGAGCACTTTGGAGGATCCCACTTTTTTTGCATGTCCAACCATGCCCCCCCCCCCCCCCC